GAGCATCTGGCTCATGGAGTGATGCTAGGACTAGGAAGCACATTGTAGAATGTGCACCCAGCTCCATAGTGGTTGTTGGTGTTGCCCACTCCACCACATCACGCTCAGGAGGATGCTTTGTGGTGCATTGCACCCTGAGAGGAGCACTGCAACTTGCATCCCTTTTTATTTCCCCCTCAGCCAGCTGCTCAACGTTTCATCCTACTTCTGAGCAGACAGGCATGAGAGACTGACTTGTCCTCTGTCATACTTCCTGTAGGGTGTGGGATGGAAACCCTCAACCTGTTCTATACAGCAAATGGCCATCATTGTGGGCAGTGAGATCTGCCGGATGGGCCTTGTGGCAGTTTTCAATCTTCCTTGATCTGCAGGCTGGCTTTCTCCCTTGCCCTTGATTCATCATATTTTATTTGTCCTAGAAGGTAGCACCACAGCCCACAGCTTCCTCACAGCCCTGAGTGTGACAGTGGGAGGGAGGATGGGCCCCAAGTGGTGGCTCAATGACCTGGACAGTACTTCTGGTCCCATCGTTGCTGCTAACTGGCCTCAAATCATTGTACCTTAACAAACTCCAAATGGGTGCAGGCCAAGGAGCAGTAACTACTAGTGAGCCCTTTGTCTACCGGCCTTGCAATGCTGTCCGTCTAGGCATTGCCTGCTGGGCTCCTCCCAGTCCTGCAGCAGAGGCAGCCCTGTTTCTCTCAACAGAAGTACTTTATTCAGAGGTATAAAAAGGCCAGACTTTCCCACAGCAGAGTCAAGACCTGACTCAGTGTGGATAGAGCATCACCCAGAGCAAGTGGAAATGCAAATGGCCCTAACTCTGTGCCTCTCCAGCCTAAATGAACTCCAGAACCCTCTTTGACAGACTCCATAGAACCTGGTGGAAATGGAAAGATAGTAAAAACTAACACAATCTGCCCAGCAGCAGCCATCCTCATGCAGGAGTACAGGTTCCAAGGGCTCTTACCAAAGCCAGACCGCAGACTCATCTCCTGGCTGGCTGTGCAAAGTTCAGGGTAAGACACATCAGTGCTCCCTGAGGAGCATCTCTGAGTGCAGACAGTAACTTCTTTCACTTCAACCAGCAAAGCAGGAGAAATAGGCACCCCAGCATAGGCTGATGGCATACGTCAGCCATCACTCACGGCCCACACTTGGATCGTGGCATGAACAAGTTCTCATTTCTTTTCAAAGTGACATTTAGGAGACTGTTGGAAATCTGATAACTAATACACCAGATGTTTGCTAGTGTTGGACAGTTGCTGTTGTCTAGACGTGAACCTGTCACAGTATGGCTGTTTTGTTTGCAGAACCCTTGTCTTTTAAAGATGCATACTAAAATATTTCCAGAGAACTGATAGCATGTTCTTCACTTGGTTCACAGTAGAACAGGGAGGGAAAGAAGGGAGAGGTGACACTAGGTGGCCAGTGCTTGGGTCATAGGCCTTTTAGGGTTTAATTTTGTTTATTTTTTACAGAGTCTGAGCTGGGATTTAAACGATGCGCCCTCACCCCTCCTGTACCAAGTTGAAGGACGGGTGTTGGAGAGATGGCTCAGCAATTAAGAATGCCTTTCACAGAGGAAGGACCTGGGGTTTGCTTCCCAGCACCAGGTTGCCCTACACACAGGTGCTACTGACTCCAGCTCAAGGACATCTTACTCCTGACCTATCGGTCTTCCTCAGCCCTGCAAGTGGATTTATTAATATTTAAAAACTTAGGCCTATGCTTGGCCAGACTCTCAGCTAGCTCGTTTTAACTTATCCCAACTATTCTAGCCCATAACCCCTCACGTGGCTAGTTCTTCACCTCTCTGTCAGCCCATGTCCAGCTGGCAGATCTCCACTTCATGATCTTCTCCATGAGCCCTCACTCTGCCCAGAAGATCCTTCTTCCCCTTCTGCCCAGCCACTGGCTTTCAGCTGTTTGCTAAAGCCAATCAGATAGAATTCTAGATTGCCTTAAGCAAGAGAGGGAGGAACAAATATTTACAAAATATGAGGCCAGTGATGGGCCATAGCTCTCTGCCGGTACAGAATTAACAACTGAATATACAGACACACCTTCACACCTGCACCCAACACTGACCCCTGAGAGTACCAGCACAGATGTGCACAGACTCACACACAGACACAGACCCACTCACATACATAGACAGACACATACACATATTTTTTAAAATAGAAATTAATCTTAAAAAAAGAAAAAATCTTGGCAGTCAGTCATGGAAGTTCACACCTGTTAACCAAGCACTCGGGAAGCAAAAGCAGGAGGATTGCTCAGTTTGAGGCCAGCCTGTGATATAGAGTAAAGCCTTGTCACAGAACTCTCCCCCTCCTAAAGTACCCTGAATTATTATTGCTGGATTAGAGGAGCAAGAGGGGTCAGGTTGTTTGTTTGTTGTTGTTTCCAATTTAATAGCTCCCTTTACTGACAAGAATGGAGTGAAGAAGAGTGAAACAGGCATGTGAGTAGCTTTCAGGTTGGCACAGCACTCCTGGACAGCAGCATGGCAGACTGTGATATTTGCCCCAGTGATTAGAAACCTGTGACTCTGCCCTAAAATAGGAAATGCCCCAGAGGTTGATAAGAGGGCTCAGCAGGTGAAGGCGCTTGCCTGCAAACCTGACGACTCGAGTTCAGCCCGGAACTCACACGCTGGAAGGGGACTCCCACAGGTTGCCATCTGCTGTCTGCACGCACACTATGGCTCACATGCATCCGCACACATGGACACGCACAGTAAGTAAGTAAAGCGTAATTTAAAATAATAATGTTGGCCCTACATGCAGTGGCAGTATGGTACCAGAAGTACCTGCTGCAGCCATGTTTGTGTTAGGGAAACTTGGAAATACTTTAAGGGTGTGGTGGCAAGAGAGGGGTTGGAAAAGGCCCGGGGCAGCACCTGGCACTGTTTCTGAAGACTGTGCAATATGGAGGAAGGCCTGTAATGTAATTACGTCAGAATTTGGTTTGCAGACATATACAGGAATATGGGAACCATGTATTGTGTAATAAAATATGGATCACCTGAAAGGTCAGCATTCATCAGTTGCTGGACAGAGCTGGGGCTGGGCATGGCTAGGCTCACTGGTGGGCTACGGTTGTTGGCTGTGTGATTGTTTGAGGGCTGTGCCTACAAACAGGAGCTGTAGGAGAAAAGGACAGGAGACTTGGCCATATGCTCTGGACACCCAATGCGGGGCTTGGGCTGGAGGCAGGAGAAGTCCACTTCTTCCACGTGCAGGAGGCCAGAGGCTTACATCAGGCTCAGGCTGGACTTCAGCATGCTCTGAGAAGGAAAAGGAAGACCCAGGACCTAGGCTCAGAGCCTTACCTAGTCCCACGGCTGGCAGCAGGAGGGGGACAGCACCTAAGAACAATAAAACTTAATGCACTCTTTAAAAAAAAAAAAATTAAAGGAATTATCCAAAAACTATGAATGGTGGCAAAAAGACTGAGCCATTATCTTCCCACTGATGCCCTTCTCCAGAAACTCAAATTCCTGAGACAATTTGTCAGTTAAATAAAAGCAGCTGGATTCAGGTGTTTTTAGAAGGCAACTCGGCTACTGAAGCTTCTGAGCTCTGTGTGGTGGCGGACAGCTTCTGGTCTGTCAGGTCTGCCTCCTTCCCTTCCAGGAGGCCCCTGCTGATCCTGCCATTGTGGTCCATCGGCATACTTCAGTAATGATTCAGTGTCACCTGGTGTAACAGTATTTAAAAGTACACTGTAAGATGTATTGTCAGTATTCCTTAAGTGTAAACAAACACATCTCTCTCTCATGCCGTGCTTATGTTCTGCACTGGTAAGGCACACAAAACAAAATGAAATATCATCCTAGCACCCATAAAAGGAGCCAGGTATCAGCATGCCCACCAGCACCTAAGACTGGGAAATGGGAAGGTAGTCATCAGAGAGAGGCAGAAAGCTTCAGGGAACAAGAGGGCAAGAAAGGGTTGCTTGAAAGTAGTCTCTCTTGACACTGGCAGCAAATTGGCATGGGAGAATAGGTTTGCTGTATGGGCTGAGGTTTTCTTAGACCAGCAGGGTTTTCTTTGAGCAAATCTGAGATTTCTAGTCCCATCAGAATATCCCAGGCCACAGGCCTCCAGTGGGCTCTGGGCCAGGCCTGCCTTTAAGGTCTCACCTGGAAACAGAGAAGGCATGCGTCTCAGGCATTGCCTTCCAAGGAAAGGCAGTATTACTTCAGTTCCTATGAAGAGCCCGTTGCCCCTATGTAGCAGTGTCTTTCTTCCCTGGCATTGTGGGAACCTTTATAGAAGTTCTTTTTGTGTGGGGGTGATACAGGGGAGGTTATTGAGATGAGGCCTCACTAAGTAGCCATGGCTATCCTAGAACTCACCAGGTAGACCAGGCTGGCCTCAAACTCACCTACTCTGCCTCCCAAGAGCTGGGATTAAAGGTGTGCAGCAGCTTTTTAAGTGTTTTCTTAATCCATGGTGTGCTTAGGTGTGAGAGAGGAAAGCATGTGAGGCCCTCATAGCCGTTCTCCTCCCTTCAGGTTCTCTTTGACATTGTTTCTCTACTTTCCACCAGCTAGCAATAGGCAGCCTCCACCAAGGGGTGCCGGGTGCCCGTTTCTGCTCTCTGCACTGTATTCCATGAACTATACGTGTATACTCATGGCCAGGACACAGATGAACACCAGCGTGCTCGTCAAACCGAAATTAGAGGACCCCACCCTTGGAAAGTGGTGGAGCAGGGGCTCTGGCCAGCAGATGGTGGGAGCTCAGAAGGCAAAGCTACTGTGTGTGACGGTCTGGGCTATCATGGCAAACTGAGGAGTTTGCCATGGCTGGGTCTGCTGAGTACATTAAGGTGAAGCACTGAGCTCTCCTCCCAAGTCCTCTGCTGCCTCGCTCAGAATTAGGACAGATAAGTGATGGTTTCTGCCTCCACCATTCTTCCCAGCTCTGTGTGATTTGCATGTTGAGTGTGAGCCTTCACACGTGTGTACTCATGTTTTTTGACAGGTGACCTTGGGAAAAGTGTTGAAAGTGATTGTCGTCATGAGGAGCCTGTTCATCGATCGCACAATTGTGAAGGGATATAATGAAAACGTCCACACAGAGGACGGGAAGGTGAGTGTCCTAGAGTCTTGGGGAGGAACTCTTCCTTTACTCTGTCCCAGAATGGAATTCCAGGGGACTGATACCAAAAACCAGCAAATCAGCACTGAAGGGTTCCACAGACTAGTCAGCATGAAGATGAACCCTTGACAAAAACTATTTCATTCTCTTCGCTTGCTCTTTCAAGCCTCCGCTGCTCACTGCAAGCCCGATGCCCTCACTTGAATTTCTAATTGAGCACCTTAGACCCCAGTTGCCTCATTAGACATGTCTTCTGAGGAAATAGATTTTTTTCAAGTCAACCAGCACATCAATAGCCCAGGGTTCTGCATTTTGCTTTTCTCAGAGCCGTGAGGAAGACTCAAGTTAGTTTGACACAACCCAATGACACTCTTTCCTTGACGCTCACAACTGACCCTTGGGGAGTCACAGTCTCTTAGCTGCACACTGAATACCTTAGTGGGAAGAAGGCAGCTTATTCCTACAGGTGATTGTCCTGCAGAGAGCTTGCTCTCCACAGCCAGACACAGTGAGGAGGCAGGTGCTTTCCTGGGTGAGCAGTTTCCTGAAAAGTTTACTTGAGTGTCCCTCTACTGTCTAGAGTGCTCGAACACCCTCCATCCGGCTCTGTGGAAAGCATGGGAAGACGCTAATGAGAGCTGACAGCCTGCATTTTTGTCTGCTCCCAAGCGTGATGAGCACCTGCCCCACAGACCCGCCCAGGTTTCCCCTGCCACTCTCCAGCACGAGACACCCCTCCTCCCTCTCTTGGGACCTTTCCCTTTCCTCATTTTAAATATTAACATTTCAATGTGTTTGGTAATAGCAATTGCCACTCAATGGCCACATTATAATGAGAATGGACAGTTCTTGAAAAGCAGGTGGTAGACTCGGCTTTGCCTGTGACAGGTGTACTGGTTGCTGTGCTAAGGTTAACATTTGAGCAAAGTACCCAGCATTCCCATGCTCCCGAGACCACAGCTACCAGAGAAGTGGTTGTTCTTCTACATTCTCTGCCTGGTTTGTCTCCCGGTTAATAGCATATCATTTGTTGAGAGATTTCCTTTCTCTTTCTGGAAAAATCAGGCTGTCCTTGGAGAAAGAGTGCAGAGTGAGGCTGGCAGGCCAGTGGGCGTGGCCCTCACTGGATTCTAAATTCTGCCTGGGGTCAAGTGGGGTCCCTGATTGCTGGTCTGCTGCCGAAGCCAGGCAGGTTTGTGCACACTCCGCAGGGAGACTGGCCCTGATGAGCATGTGGAAGTTCATCAGGTTGAAGGTGCTGCAGACAAACCTGGTATGAAACAGCTGTTACTCACCCTTGGATTAGAGCTTGAGAACAAAGAAGGGCTCTAACTTGCACCCTGCTTGCAAAGTTACCAAGTCAGGATGCAAATGAGCCACACTCCAAATTCAGACCAGGAATGGAGATATTGCCAGCTGTGTGTGCTGCTGGCACGTGGTGTCCTGCTGACCAAACCCAGATTGTCCCCAGTAACACACAAGAACACCCACACTCTACCACCAGGAAACACTCAGAAATTAGCGGCTAGTACTTTTTGCTGCACTCAAAGCAGGAAATTCTCTACTATGTCCCTCCGGAACCCCACCCTGGTGGTCTGCCACAGCAGCAGCCACCACATTTCTTCCTTCCCATCTCTTCCTTGACCCCTGCTTCCCAAGGGTTCTCTCCTCCCTTTGCCCTCTCCCCTTAGCTATGCTGCCTCCTCAGGGTTCACTCCCTCCAAAGAAGGGCCTCAACTCTTCACCTCCCTAACTGGGTTCCTCCTCCCTCCTGTCTTGGTTAGCCACACCACCACCCAGCTGCCTAAACCTTCCTTCAGGCCATCCCCGAAGGCTAGGCTGTCTGTAGGTGCTGGCTGCCACCTCTCTCAGATCCTCTATTTTGTCCCCACCCCCACCCCCAGGCCCTCTGTTCTCTGCTTCCTTATTCTCACCTTTGCTGATCTGATTCCTGCTCTTTCCAATTCACATCCAAGCCCTAGTCCTCCTTCCCTTGCACAGTCTGTCCTGCCCCTACAAACAGCCGTGCATACAGAGGGTTCTCTGCTTCCTGACATTCCAGTATTATTTGGAATAGCCTCCCCAGAGGAAGAAGTAGGTATTAATAGGTGTTAGATATAGGGCAGCCCATGCACCCAGGTTTAAGAAAACTTGGGTTTCAGATAGTCCCAAGGATAAGGCCCTGGGCCTCTCACAGTTAGGCAAATGCTCATCCACCCCTGAGCCATTCCCTCCCTCTACCCTGGCCTTGTACTCCATAGAGGTGCGTATTTTTCTCACAAGGTCACCAGTTTTTTTGTCATCCCAACTTTGTCCTCAGAGCATATTGTATCGGCAGCTTGTGCGACATGCTTCTGAGATCTGGCTTACGGAACACAATCCAGACACCTTGGCAGTATCTGACTCTACCTGCCCCATTTTCTGCATGTGCCCTGTCCACTCCCCAGCCTTGGTGCCTACCATGGCCCCTAGGACAGCCAAGCTGCTATACACATTTGCCTTTTCTGCTTTTCCCTGGGTGCTTGCTCTCCTACCCCACCTGGCAGGCTTTCATCCTTTAAAATGTCCCGAATATTTTATCCTCTGAGGTGCCTCTCTCTCCCTCTCTCACTTTCCCTCTCCCTCTTCCTTTCCCCTTCCTCCTCTCTCTTCCTTTCCCTCTCCCATCCTCCCTCCCTCCCTCCTGCCAACCCCCACCTACTATCATAGCCTAGTGGGTGTAATGCTCTTGCACTTGCAGTGCTCAGCCTGTCCTAGCTGTACTTTCCCTTAGAAACTGCTGTCAGACTCATGTTATGGAACGGAAGCCAGATCCTAGGGTAGGGAATTGTTTAGGTGAACTAGTCCTGTGACTTTGTCCTACGGTAAGGTAGACCATAGTTCCTGAAACAGCCTGGAAACACCGCTGTGTTCAGGAGAGAGGCTGATGGGATAGTCTACTCAAGAGGTACAGCGCTTAGCTGAAATGGAAAAATGAAGAATCAAGAAGCAGTGGTCATTAGAACCATAAATAATCAGACGGAAGGGACATACATATACACACCCTCCTCATGAAACATTGCTGTTTCTCCACTGTACGGCAGAAAGTGGACATGTTGAGGGAATCTGGGTTTAAGGATGGCTGGCCCCAGGGTGATGGGGCACTGTTAGATACGTGTACTTAGTGTAACAAAAGTCATGTTTTCTTATCTGAGGGTCCTCACACAAGGTTCACACTCTACGCTCCTAACTGCAGTCCTAAGCCTATCTCCCCAAGGCTGCTCACCTGAGCGATGGATCTTACCTGAAGGTCAGGTCCAGTCTCTAACTGAAGTCTCAGACTCAAGGGTCAGGATCCTGAGGGCAGATGATGGTGCTGTCTCTCCAGATGTGCAGAGCAGAGCACAGTGGGCATCATGGGGTTCTAGCACTGTGTCCAGTCATCTGGAGTGAGTGATGTCACTGGGTTCTGGTTATCAGATGCAGCCTGGGTGCAGTGGGGATCCTGACTAAGCTATTTTTACATGTCTAAAAGGCTTTTTACTATGCTCCTTACAGGCAAGAACCTCTTGATCTTTTTCGCACCTGTGTACATGGGCTCATGTGTATGGGCTCAAAACAAGATCAAGTATGACTGCCAGGGCCCGGCCTCAGTTGGTAGAGAAGCTCTCAGCTGGCCTGCTCTCCTGAGATGGCAGCTCCTCCCATTTGACTAGTCTTAGGTTTTTCAAGCACTTTACAAAAGACTGCAGGTGTTCAGTTCTGAGTGCTAAGCCCGCTGTGGGCACACTAGTGTCACACTCCCCAACAAAATGTAAGATTTGGAAAACACCAGTGGGGCTAAAGACCTAGTCTGCTGGCAATTCTGCTGTGAGGCGGTCGCAGCCCTGCATTTGCTCAGCTGGCGCCTGGGCTCAGAGCTCATTTTGGTGTGGTCCTCTGGAGCTCAGCCTGGGGTGCCCTGGATGGGTTCAGCCATGGGTTCCCATGGCCTTGACCGCTGTCATTGTCTCCCATTTGCTGGTCCAGCACATTGTCTTTAATGTCATGGTAGTGTCCAGTCACACCCACCCACCCCAGGTTCTAGGCAGTTTTTTCCGTCAACATCCATCCACACACACTGTCACCTTGCACTTTTTGCTATCACAGCCGCTAGCCTGATGCCCTGTCTCTACCGGTGATGCATATTTTTATATTGAGCTCCAGTATCCTTGTTCCTCTAAGAATAAAACTGCTGTTCAAACTTACCAACCACTCTTGGCTGTAATCAGGGAGTGAGGGCTGTGACTCAGCATGTTAGCAGGCAGGGTGTGGGGACACCTGGCCATTGTCCTGATTTTATATCAGTCAGACTGGAGAATGGACAGAAAAAATAGAAGTGTCTCCATTGAATTTATCTTATTAGGGGATTTAGGTTATGTTAATGCTATAGCTTCATTAATTACCCCATATCAATAAAAAAGGCAGCTTTTAGCCTCCGAGCGTAAGAGAGGAGAAGAAATGGCGGTATCAAAGAGAACCTTCAAAGACAGCCAGAACTGTCTCCAGGGTAATTTCTGATCCTGCATTCTTCCCACTTCAAAGTTGGATGTGTGTGTGGGTCGAGGGGGTTGGGGGAAGCTTGAATCTGATTTCTCTAATAAGTGTTGGCATCAGCCCCGTTTGATATTAGATGCAGGGAACATTTTGATTTGTTATAGCCTTTGAAATTGTTCAGACGACCTTCAGAAAAATGGCCTCTTGTTACTTCTGGAGAGAAGGGTGAGAGCTAGGAAAGGGGAATGAATCCATCTGGGTTCCTATGCAGAGGGTGCCCGGAAGTTGTGCTTTCAGCAATTTTTTAGTAACAAATGCATGTCCTGATTGAAAGTGAAAAGTTGAAGAATAATAGAGCTGTAGCATTGCTCTCCTGGGGAGACTTGTTTCTGCCCCTTCTCTGGGAGGAAGGGCAGATGTAAGAAGATGACCATACAAAAGTTTTCCATATCTCGAAAAACTTGGGCAGCTGCCGAGAGGTCCTTCACTGGCACCCAGTTCTATCCTTCCTCAGACTGACATGTCTGTCACCCATTGGTCTTGCAAGACACAGATCCCTTTAAAGATTTCCTTTAAAGGTTGAGGCCCCTGCTGCAGCTTAGGAGCTTCATTTGGAAGTGTCCATTTTAGATCATTTAAAATTCTCTGTGTGTGCTGCCTTTTGAAATGAAATAAAGAATTGATAACTTTCTGATAAGCTGCCAGCGCTTTTGCACACTGCAAAATGAATGTTAGCAGCGATGATTGGCACAGCAGCAGGCCTGGCATGGATGTGGAGGCTGAACTCTGCTGGAGCACCCCTAGAACTGGGCCAGTGACATAGTAGAGGGGATGCTGAGTAACGTCCCCTCTGAAGTCCAGCTGAGAGGCCCTGGGCCTCCGGGTACAGGCAGGCCCCCTACTTCCCCACTACTTGCCCATGATGTTCTCTGGGGTGCAGTTTCCTCATCTGTGATTGGAAGAGATTCTTCTGTGTTAGTGCTTGGGGAGGGGAGTGCTGACTGCAAAAGAAGTAAGAGATCAGCAAGGACAGAGTGACCTTGCCTTGTCGTCAGATCATGCTTTTAGAGGCTTCTTGGTGTTTACCCTGAGAACAGACATGAGCACCCACTCATCTACAGGGTTGCAGTTCACTCCCCTGAAAATAGACCCTGCTCCCACCTGAACACACTCCAGTCCCAGGACCCTTAGCTGCCTTTATCCACCAGGCTCCAGAGGAGCTGGGTTGGCCCTTTTAAATCCTTCAAGCATTGTCCAGTTTTCTGAGGGGAGTTTCACTCTCTTCCTGACACTAGAGTTCAGAGTAATGTCCTGTTCACCAAGCTGAAAGTTTGCAGCTTCCAGAATGTTTCCTTTTTAATATTGCCACTAGCAAAAAAATTGTTAACAGTGCTTGCCTTTGCATCGAAGAAGTACAAGCTAATAAATATTCACTGGGCTCAGCCCTTGGCTTCCCGAAATAAAAGTCTGAGCTCTTCCTGGCCCTAAGGAGAGACAGGGCATTGACTCCAGAACTCATTTAAACAGCTTTCGCTGGCATAAACCTAGCAAGAAGATCAAGTGTGAGCCACCTGCCTCACGTTCCCAGCAGAAGGGGAGCCCGTTGTTTTCAGGTCCCTTCCCAGCCGCGCATGCCAGGTAAATGGAATGTATTGTCCGAGGTAGAATCATCCTCTAGCTGAAAGTTTTATTTATTCTGAATGACATAAATAAAACTTCCAGAAAGGAGGCACAGTGCATAGGCAAGGCGTATTTTGAGAATCCATGATTAGGCTACGGAGTCCTACCCTTACTTGAGCCTCTGATCTTTTCTCTTGAGGTTCTTGTTTTGTTTTGGCTTTGGTTTTAGATTTTGCAGTTACTGAAGGTCTCCTAAGATAATTGTTTAAGTCTGCAACTTTGAGTTTGTACAACTTCCCTCTCTGAGTTTTTGTGGCTAGTATCCCTGTCACAGTGTGTTGTGTATGGTGTGAACAGGCAGGAGGCATCAACAATGAGAACTGCCAGCTAGAAATGAGAGGAGAAGGAAGTTGCTTCCAGGTTCCAACACCAATGCTGCTCTTCCTGAAACATCAGTTTAAAATCCCTGGCACTGTGGTTTGGGTAGAACTAAGAGATGCAAAGTCATTCTCATTCACCCTGTATCCTCTAAGCAGTCTTTAAATGCTGCATTTGTTAAACCCTGGGAGGAACTGCTGCCCTGAAGTCACCTGAACCTGACCTCTCCCACACAGGACTGGCACCCATTGGAATGGACAATGTGGGGAATTCATAGTGAGCATTCTTTTACATTTATTTATTTTGTATATCTACATGTGTGTGCACATTCAGAGGCGAAGAGGACAGCTCGCAGAAGTCAGTTCTCTCCTTCCACCACGTGGGGTCCTGGGGATTAGCAGCAGGTGCCTTGTTCCAGGAAACCAACTGTCGTTGTCAGAGTTACTCTTACCACTCTGCCCCTACATACTGTTAACCTCTAATGCCTGGAGATGGTTCAAATTCTTCTTCCCATCCAGTGCTTTAAAGGAGACAGATGCTGAAATTTGATGTTGCCTCTCCAGGGTGCAATTTGGCATCGAGGACATGCTGTCAGGAGGTCATGGGGAACCAGGAGGGATATAGCATGGGTGGTAGAGCACATTTTCCTGATGACATAAATGAGTTAGTGATCATAGATCCATGTTATCTACCAGCTCTGGAGCTGGAAGGTCCCCTCTGCCTTCCCCACCCTCACAGTCACTCGGCCTTTTATCGTATGAGACGAAACAGGAAACCAATCATAAAGCGAAAGGAATGTATGCCCAGGTGTAACCCAATTGCTAATTTCCAAGGACTTTTCAGGGAGCCATGGTTTGGTGTTTCCTCAGAACAGCAGGGACTCTGAAGTACCTGGGTCAAGTGCAGACTCACTTCCTGTGGCTCAGAGGCATGTCCCCAGGCAGCCACTTCTGTGCCCTAAGGCTGCAGGTCACTGTGACAGCACACAGGCCTGAGCTGCTCCACGTCAGACTTCCACCTTGACCACCAGTCAGCCCCAGAGGCAAGTCCAGGTGACCCTGGACTGGGTGTTTCAGTTTGCTCAGCTCCTGACCTCATGATATTAAAGTCACCTGTATAGCACCTGTGGGGGCTTCCACAGCTGTCATTACCCACAAGTGACAGCCCAGCCCCTATGGTCTCTGTCTTGGGGTAATTCTGGGTTTACCATTCATTTGTTCTCAAGTCTTGAAACAGTGAGAAAGTATGGGTTGCAGTGCAAGCTGAGGAAACCAAAAATGGTTTCAGTTAGTATGAGCCTCTGAGGAACTGTACTTGAGGCCCCAAGGTGGCAGGCCTCTGGACTGGTTCCCCTGAGCTCTACCCATATCTTATCTCGGACCTTGAAGCTTCCTTTTTTGTGAGATCCAGTCTCCTTAGGGCAGCCTCCTAACCCAGCCAGCTCCAGAAGCCACTAGCACCGAAAACAAAACAGGAAGCTGCGTCACAAGCCAGCTCCAACCGTCCAAACTCAACCACTCCAGAGAGAATGGCAATGAGTTTGTAAGTTACAAACAAAGCACCCTGACGGTAACATGGGCTCTCTCTGACTCTTTGGCTTGCTCTTGGGACCCTTTTCCTCCTACTGGGTTGCCTCACCCAGCCTTGGGTTTGTACCTAGTCTTATTGTAACTTGTTATGCTGTGTTTGGGTGATATCCCTAGAAGGCCCACTCTTTTCTGAAGGCAAACAGGGAAGGAGTAGATCTGGGGGAGAGGAGGCGTTGGAGTGGGGAACTAGGAGGAGTGGAAAGAGGGAAAACTGCAGTAGGGATGTAATTATGAGAGAATAACTTAAAAAAAAAAAAAACTCTCCAGGAGCTGCCAGTGCTGGCCAGGTTTGAGTAGCCAGATGATGCTAGTCTGCCCTCTATGAGAGGCCTCTTCAGTTGACCTCTTTAGGGTGTGGCTCTGACCTCCCTCTTATCTGGAAAGCCCAAGCCATTCTTTAGACTCAATGAAGGCATGTATGGAGGGTAATGCCTAGCATGGAGGAGCATCCTCCTACATGCTGCTACTTCTCCTTTACCCAGAAATGGCCTACTGGTGCCCCTGATGTGCCAGGCCCAACACCTCTGCCCACTGAGTCACTTTCTACATGGGCCAAGTCAGGAGCAAACAAAGAAACCCTGCACTTCAGGTAGCCTTTAATGTTAGAAAAACTTTAACTTTTCAAAAGGTGAAGAAAGTGGATGTCGGGAGTAGTATTTTGATAGGTAACTGGGGAAAACCTTCCTGATTATCATGAAATTGAACCTGAAGGAAGCCCAAGAGGAGCCCTGTGCACGCTTGTGTGAACAGTATAAGGTGACGTGACTGGGCACTTGAAGGGATATAAGAGCCTCAGAAAGAACCCAGTTCTAAAGTGAGCAGGAGCCTCAGCCCGTGGGGCCTGTAGGCTGATGACCCGGCATCCCTTCACCTCATTCCTTAAGTCACCTGAAAGTTGGTAAAGAAGAAACAGGCAGGCCATAGCAGGCCTTTGCACCGGGTCCTGCTCTGTTACTGTTTCCTTTCTTTGGGTTGACTGAAACTGATGCCTGTTCTTCTCTCTCCCTCAACAGCTTGACATATGGTCCAAATCCAACTATCAAGTATTCCAGAAGGTAAGTTGTCCTGTCTTTACTCAGGAGGCACAGGCCAACCACAAATGCTTTGGGTATAAACTTTCTCAAGTTGGAGGTTTTAAAAGTGAGAAAATGAAAGATTGGGGCTGTTGCTCAGTCTAGAGAGAGGGTGTGCCTAGGATGCACAAAGCCCTGGGGTTCATCCAAGCAGCACATGATTGGACATGGAGGATCACAAGTCCAAGGTCATCCTCTACTGCACAGGCTGCTCCCTGGGCTTCATGAGTGGGGCAAAATAAATAAAACTGACATACAATGCTTCCCACTACATGGCTCCATTCATAGAACCTAGGGAAGCAGTTAGCTGGGGGATGTCAATCAGATTGCCTGTGGGTGGAGCAGGGGGGTAGCCTCAAAGGCATAGCAGAGAACATGTTGGGGTGGATATCCTTTGTTTCTGAGGTGATAATGGTGGTTATACTGTCAGCACAGAGGACCGTCACCCACATGGGTGCCTTGCTATGTGTAGCGTAGATTATATCAGGCAGAAACTTTCAGATGGTTCCAAGTTCTACCCTGTGGTCTGCCCAAGTGCATGGAGATGGACTGAGAGAAGCAGGCGGCACACAGCCCAACCTACTCCACCCCTGCCTCCTGCCCTCATGACTGCTCCTTGCAAAACATAAAGGACTGTTAAGAAAAATGAGAAGTGGGGCTGGAGAGAGAGATGGCTGAGAGGCTAAGAATGCTTGTTGCTCTTCCAGAGGATTGATTCCCAGCACCCACATAGCAGCTTATAGCTGTCTATAACTCCGGTTCCAGGATGATCAACACCCTTTTCTGGCCTCTGAGGGCAGATGGCACTGCACACACGCTGCAGACATATATGATACACATAAAAATTAAATGAAGTTTTTAAAAATGTAAATGAGCAATGATGTGAGAATTCAGCTCCCCAGCTTCCGGAAGATGAAACTCCTGGCACAGCATGGCCCTGTGGTGTCTGCAGGGTTCATGTCACACCCCAGAGCACTTGGGCCAGCTCCGCCGATAGGCCATAGTCCTGTCCCCTGTGGTCTGGACTGGCCTCAGTTCTGCTCTGGCCTGACAGTTGCCATTTCATTTGTTCCCTTGACAAGGTCAGCAGTCCTTTCATGTTGCCAGGTACGGTGCTAGGTCCAGGAATACTAGGGAAATACCACAAGTAGACAGGCTTTCTGGAGCTGTGTCAGAGGACCAGAGGAGGCATGGCTCAGGAGTTCAGAGGCAATCTCAAGCAAAGAGCCCTGGTCAGGCAAGTGTCTCTGGGCTGGGGATAGTTTGGATACTGTTATGTCTAGTAAGAAATACGTCAGGGACCACTCAGAGCTGGGAGTGACCCAAGTTCTTGCTAATGAGTAAGTTGTGCCCAACGTGTGCTAGGAGGCATGGGCCTTTCGTTGTTTGTTTGTTTGTTTTTCCAGACAAGTTTTCTCTGTGTTTATCTGTCCTGGACTCACTTTGTAGACCATGCTATCCTTGAACTCAGAGCGATCCTCCTGCCTCTGCCTCCCTGAGTGCTGAGATTAAAGGCATCTGCCAGTTGGCACTATTTCCTGGAGTCGTAAAACTTGGGAGGTCAGGCCTAACTGGAGGAAGCAGGCCTGTTTCAGAGATCAGGCCTGCTGAAGGAGCAGGCGTTGAGGTCTATGTTTGCATTCTGTTCTGGGGAGATGTGAGGGGGTTTGGAGTCCCAGCTGTATACTTCTGCAGCTAGAGAGCCACCTGCTGCCATGCCTTGCCCTGTATTTGGAAATATGCCCTCAGACAGACCCAAATTAACCCTTTCTCCACTTTGTTGGGTGTTTGGTCACAGTGCTGAGGCCTATTAACAGGCCAAGCTTGTTCCTACAAGCTTGTTCCTGGGCCACCTTTGCAATTCTTGAATAAAGCTCAAAATATTTCAAAACCAAGAATGTCACTGTCCCAGGTCTGCTAGCATTCCTTCACTCCATTGTCCCTAGAAGCATGACCAGATCTAGTCTGGCTCCCAGGTCCAGAGCTGAATGGAGGGAACTGTGATCCTCACACCTGTGCAGGCTCTGCGAGCTTGCTAAGCTACCAAGCTGGGAATATTGCATAGCTGCTATGACTGGCATAGGTGCCACCTCAGCTATAAACATTATTATTTTCCATGTTGTTTTGACAATTTTCCCTCTGTGGTGACTGAAAAGAAGGAAAACCACTCATTGTCGCTGTCTTGTTTTACTTGTCAAGATCGTTAAAACTTTAACCTGGGCCTTACCTTTGAGCCCTTTGTGGCATAGTAATGAATTCTTCTCCAGACCCCACAATGGCTCTCAGGATTTCTCAAGCCCAGAAGCCTGGCAGCCTGCAACCCAGAACCCTTTGGTAGTGAACCCTTGTTGTGTTTGAATGCATGTGAGAAGCCTCTCTGGAATTCAGCGAGGGTGTGAAATGGGGATCTTCTGAAGCATAGGTTTAGACTGTGCTACCAAGTTTTTACCCACCCCTCCCTGGAAATAACCTTCCACGCATCTTTGCTGGAGACACACCCCGAAGCAGTCTAAAATGGACTGTTAGGACAGTTGGAATGGACTGACCCCACATGGTAGTGCTTACCCAACTAGAGCAGTACGTCCTCCACGAGCCCAGACCCTGTGCTTCCTTTGTCTTCTCTCCCTTGCCCTAATACAGCTAAGTGATTAACCTCCAATGCTGAGCTACCTGGGTTAAAGACTGCCACAGCGCAGGTGTCAGTATTCTCCTTAGAAGTAAAAACAAGGAATGGTGAGGTCCCTGGTTCCTCTCAGGGGAAGTAAGACTTCCTGCCAGGGATTGTCTGTGCTGTCAGATGGCAGGATATCTGAGAAAATAATGTACTACAGAATCTAGCTTAATCCTCTCAGGAAAGCTTCGACTAATCAGGCCCCATGGCCCGGGTGTGGCATGATAGCACATCAGGAAGCTCGTGCTCCAGGCTTGCAGAGGGGCTTGGTGGCAGGAAGAAGGTCCATCTGGTGGTGTGTTCTAAGGGCAGGCTATGCTGTTCTGTCTCATCCCTTCCACAGTCAGGCCCCTCACCCACTGCAAGGCCACTTCTGTCTGGCACAGCCTTCAGAGTGATGCTTAGCGCTGAGACTCAGAGCACCAGAAAACAGGGCTGGTTGGCAGCTGATTGGCCTTCTAAGCCTTCTAAGCGTTGCCTTTGGGGTCCACTCTTTCTCACTTGTTTTCCTGTTCCCCACTTAAATGTGGGGTGTGCTTATTGATGCTGCTGGTAGTGGATGCCGACTGGGAGTATGAAGATGACTCTTCTACGCCTGTCAGCCTGCTTATGCCTGCCCAGTAGACCAGCCAGCAAGGGGCTCAATGTCAGATTGCTGAGAAAAGCCCAGCCCAGGGCAGTAGTTTCCCGTGGGTCAGGAGGGCAGCTCACTGTGACAAGGTTTCTGTGCCCTAACTGAGGGGACTTCTCCACCAGTCACTCACTTCCCAAAGAGCCTGACCCCAGGGTAGACTGCATTAGGAGACCCACTTCTGAACTGAGGCTCACTGGCTACTGAAGACAGCTTGCACCCCTGCCCCTACCTCCTGCTGTCCTGATGGCACCAAGGACCGCCTTTCCTGGCAGCATCAAATTGGTCCAGGTGCTGCTCATGGTTTGGGTGCTGTTAGGCAGGCAGAAAGCCCCTGAGCTCCTTCCCTCTAGATAGAAGGGAACTGACTGCCTTGTAGAGCCAAAGCAAGCTTACCCATGTGTTTTGTTTTGTTTTGTTTTGTTTTGTTTTGTTTTGTTTTGTTTTGTTTTGTTTTGACTTCAGGAGCCAGGGCAGTGGCGGGCAGGCCACTGTTATATTGTCTGGAGGCCTGTGCTCAAGTCCCTCAGTGAGAGCCACAGCTGCTGGGGCGCTACAGCAAACCAGTCATGAGGAGTGAAATGCGCCCTACCTTTTGTCTGTGGACAGTGACTGTCAGCAAGCCTTTTTCTGTCTTACTTATTAGACTTTGTACCCAAGCACAAGGCAGTGGCTGCTCGGGGGACAGCTTGCTGTGACTGCCAACAGGTGCCTGTCATTCATTGCACTACCCAGAGGCACCTTGCACTTCATCCTAGGGCGAAATGGCTTTTTATAGGCAGCAAGTTTCCAGCAGTGTGGATTCAGAGAATGAAACTTAGAAATAAGGGGACCCTCTGAAAGGCCAGACCCACAGAGCTAGCAAAGGCTTCAAGCAAGTTCATATTTTCCTGGCATTTAAACTCGGCAGGGGCACCCACTGTTTTGATCTTTAACCTCCTCATTTCAAAACAGTGTGCATTTTCCTCCAGCAACTTGGGAGGAGTGAGAGCCAGGCTGCAGCCAGTCACTGCACTAAGTCCTTGCAGGGGCTAGAGAAAAGTGGAACATGAGGCCCCAGACAGACAAGGGTGCAAGGGTAGAGAATCTCTGTGAGCCGGCCCCTGCTCCTCAGGGTCCCCTCCTCGGCAGGGAACAAAGCAGCATGTGGTCTCAGAAGTGGACTCTTAGCCATGGCCATTGTTCCACAGGTAGCCAAATGGTGCATAGCCCACCAACCCACCAAGTCCTACACCACAGTAGACAGGTGGGGTGCCCGGTGAGGGGCCACTGCCTTCATTGTCTTTTTGTTCACTCAGCCATTCTTTGATGTGAGAGACAGGCCTTTCCTGGGGACAGTCTATGCAGAGATGCCGGGAAGTGTCTGTCAGGCACTGTATAGGAGGTGGGCTAAATCAGCCCAGGAGACCTAGCGCTCCGGAAGGAGTCTGTGTTCACTGAGTGCCTTGCATGACTCCACACCTTCCCACAGTGCCCCTCATACAGCCCATACCCCAAGCCCTCAGAAGGCAACCATTCCAACACAGGAACTTCCAGAGGACAAGGGCGCTTCTTTCCCTGGTGAGGCTGAGCTGGGTGTGACCTGAGCACGGGCCCCTGCTATGGCATCTCACATCACCCCAAAGGCTCGCTACAAAGTCTCTGGGTGTGCCCTCTGCCAAACTCCTCCACATTTTTCTT